TGTATTATATGATTTTCAATGGTTATCCGACGTGATTTTTTCCGTTTTTCCTGATTATAAAAAACCGTTTTTTCCTCCATATACTTTGTACGTGCGTTTTACGTCCATTCAGTAGTGACGTCGCCCTTCTCCCGTTGTTTCACAACCAGTTGACGCGACATCTGTCTGTGATGTTACGCATGGGTCTACAGCAGCGGCGGCGGCGGTGCCATGCATGGGATTTGTTATGTCTTATATTAATAATTATTATTATACGATTGTGCCGTTCCTAGGACGTTCTTTACCCCCTCCATTACGTCGTCATCGACCACATCGTCCTTCGACATTCCGCGCCCAATCTTTTCCATCCAACCACCCTCTGATAGCGCACCCTGCCATAACAAAACGATTGCTTTTTTTTTGCTGTAACCAAATCCCGTGCATTTTCGGGTATTAGTGGTCTGGGTAATCATGCGATAACTACCACAGAGACTAATACACTGTCGGTCATAAACTATTTTGCGGTGAGAAAAAAAAATGATTTGGAAGATTAAAAATACGAAAACTCTGTAACTAGTCGTTGTATAAACACTACTCGAATTACACCGAATACAAAAAGAATACATTTTATTTTACCTTTCAAGCTCGTGTTTTACAATTTCGCCGTTTCTTTACATCTACGAACGTCACATCAGCAACGCACAAAAACATCGCTCTGCGGTGTTATCGCGAGGAATTTAATTATTTCTATATAATATATTATTATTATATGCGGTCTACGAGACAAGTATACACTGGTGCTACGGGAAACGATCGGAATACAATCGAATGCGAAGTTATTAGACAATATTATTCGCCCTCCCACCTGTTCTCGTCCGATACGAGAGTTAGATATTAATCACTGACCGGAATATTCTGGTCAAATCGTTTGTGTAATACAATATCGGGATATTTAACATATATAACGCTGTCTGAGCTCCGTGCACTGTGATATATATATATATATATATATATATATACGTATACATACTATATACCTATAACCTCTAATAGGTAGGTATACGGTTTTAAGGCTTATACGAATTATTATTATTATGCAAACGTTTCATTCACGAAATCGGTTTACGCGCGCGAGACAAGTACAAAGAGAACCGCGGTGAAACGAAATATTTCGAAAGTCGATGAAATTATGTGGCTGGCCTCTATTAGACGGGCTATCCGAGAYGGCTGCGGCGGCAGTGGTTGATATACATGATATGATATGGTAATTGGTAATATATTATATATATGTATTCTATACAATACACACGGAGATGGTGGAGGTGCTGGTGTGCAGGCGACGCGATATGCGGACGTTTTTTGGACGAAACCGGGAGACGATATTTTAGCCTAAACGACGCGTGTAAACGAGACGACCCCTGCCTGCGCCCATTTAATATATACGCACAACAGTTAGGTCAGGTACCTATGTTATAGAAGTGGAAGGTAGGTTATCCTATATGAGCCGCTCCGGTGAGAGAGGCGGCGCGGCGGTGTGCACCGTCRTCTATCGTTTGATCATCCCATGGCCATTCGAAAGAATATGCGTACGGCGCAATATTCGAGTAAAAAAATAAATACCTAAAAAGTATATATAATAATAATATATACCCGCCTGCAGGCTATTGCCGCCGAAAAAATGTGTACTCACCAGCGCCCGGTTGACCGTTGCCCATCGACCCGTACAATATATTATAATATACGCAATAACAGCAAAACCTACCTAATGTTATAAATGTTATAATGTTATGTAGTGTCCGGAATTGCGGTTTCACTTGGATCTCTCGATAAGAAAACAAACACTATACAGCACACACACGTTCGAATCCGTTTTTGACTCTCTCTGTCTCTCTCTGTCTCTCGCCATCTCTCTTCCCCGTATACATATCATGCGCAAATATACGATCTACACTCGGACGGCGAGTTGTTGTTATTGCTTATAGCTTGTTTTTTTCCCCTCCGATCACGAGAGTGGCTGTGGTGGCGGTGGTGGTTTTAATTTGTTTTACACCACCGACGAGAAGAAGATGACCTCTACATAATATTATTATTTTTATTTTTTTCATCATATGTATCGTTTCCCGCGAGCACTATCATAACATCGGTATTGATGGGTGGTGGGTGGTGGGCAGGAGAAGTAGTAGTAGTAGTTTAAGGTAAGGGCGGAGATTCATCAGTGGTATTCAGTCGCTGCAGCCGATTATTATGATGTCTTCATCACGTGGAAGGAGGAGAACGGCGCTGCGGTACGTCACCACCTCCCCTCTTGTCCGGGGGTTGTCAGTTGTCACACGACGTTCTCTCGATCGTTTATCTCTCGTCCGGCGGCGGCTCCAAACGCTATGCGCTTCCACAACACCGTCACACCGCCACTGCACCGTTACCGACGACCACCACCACCACCGCCACCGCCTCTGACTCCACTACAAGTGATGGCCACTAACCAGTACCGGTGCACGGTCGCGCGTCTGCGCGGAAATTTATGGCGCTGCGTCGCATTGTTTAATATTATTTTATGTACACACATGGCGATGGCGGCGGTCCCATATCGCCGAGATTTATTAAGTAATCACGGGCACATATTTTTCTCCCTCCTATGGCGTGGCGCATATTTCATATAATTATTTATATTTCGTTGATAATAAAAATTCAGTCACGTACCCGTAGACCCGACATCCCCAAGTGAGCGTCCTACCGCGAGAGCGTGCGCGTGGAGAAAAATCGAGTTGGCGAAACAAAGGACGGTGGTAGTGGTGGTGGTGGCGGTGATGGCGGCGTCGGTCGTCGAGAAGAATGCGGTGCGCAACATATGATTTAGACCACCTGTATACGACCGAGAGAAATAGACAGAGATTGTGAGTTAGTGTGTGTGTGTAAAAGAGAGGGACAGGGATATAGAGTGAGAGTGTGGATGAGAGCTGCTTTGAGTGAGAGATGACGACGCGGTGTAGGAGAGAGAAACCGAACCGCTATGGCCCCGGGCGTCTAGACTATTATGCGTTTGCGTGTGTGTGTGTATGCGTCCCGACTAGACCCGAAGCGTGTGCGTTGTCTGGACGAGAAATTAAGCGAAAACAACAGTAGAAAAACTATTTACTGATCATCCCGCAGCTACCTGCAATTTGTCGAAATCCGATGGATTTCATAGCTGGTGCGATTCGCACGCTTTTCCCCGCAGACGATGCGGGACAAGCTCTATTCGGTCCACCAGCGCGCGTCGTATCTCGTGGACCCTCAACTATATTATTAACGCCGCGTGCCACGAATCGTTCATTTTCTATTAAAAATGTTTCGAAAGTGAACAATGGGATATTGTCATWATTCATAACTTTTTAATGTATAGTTCGACGTGAATTTTGGCCCCAAAGTGTTGTTTTATCCCGCAATATTATGTCAAAAAGTATTAAAGTTTTTAGAAATATTTTCGATAGGGATTCGATTAAGGAATTTAATAAATCAGTCAATAATAAAATGCTTTTATTTTTATAGTTTAATTTAAGAAAATCATCCGTGTCCTAGTAACAAGACGGTTTCTGAAGATGTTCTCATMATCTGAACATATTTAGGGCTCAGAACCTCCAGTCATCCCCTATAGATATGCCTATGAATGATAGATATATCATCAACATTATGATATGTACATAGCTTTAGGAACACGTTTTTTTTCCGACAAATATTTTAATTTTTTTTTATTGTCGTCTACGAACTCGACGCCGCCGCGCGCCGCTCTGTGTAATATTATATTTTTTGACGTGGCTATATTATACTCACACGCATCTATTATCGTATCATCATTATTATTATTATTGTAGCGGTGCAGCTCTCGGACGGCGTATATCAATATATATATATATATAATATACTCATCTACATAATGTAAAATCATATGTAATAGGTATATACCGGCCGCTGACGGATTGTCCGAGTCTCCGAAAAACCAACTCGTGCAGTATAATGCACGTCGCACACAACAACGACGACGACGCGAGTGTATTATAAATAATACGATATGTAATATATTATTTAATATTATGTATTGTACACGCACAGGTCGATTTCCACATCGCGTCCAAGAGGGTTATATTATACACGCGCTCACACAATATAATAATAATAATATACGCACACACACACACACACACATATATATATGCGTCGTAATAACAATATTATTATACATCATCTAAACATCTCGTCTCGTTACCGAGTGCCCCCCGGAGTAGCGCCGTTAATGTGTAGGGCGCGAGGGGGTCTGTTCTGCGGTCCGTCGCGGCGGCTGTGCCGATCATGTCTCCGGGCGCCGCGCGACCATCGCCGTGTCTCGGTGTAGAGTGTATATAATAATGGTAACGATAATAATAACGTAATAATAATAAATAATAATAATAACAACAATAATAATAATAATAACGTTATAATAGTATTATATATATATATATATATACACGGAAACGTTGAAATATTATCGTGTGCACGCTCGTTTCGTGCACGGTCGCCGACGTATTTTTTAACAGCGGTTTTCGGCCGAAGGGTGACGTGTGAGAGCAAAACACAATAATATATATATTGTTTGTCAAAATGTTTGTTCCCGACGATTTCTCTCTCCACCGGCAAAGGCGCCTGCGAAATATCTAAGCCGCGGTCTTTTCCGTTATTTATTTTGCTTCTTGCGTTTACAAAACACCATAATAATAATATTATCATAATATGTTTCTTTGTGCTATATCATGGGTACCCACTGCACATTCATTTTGTATGCATATCTATATAGAATAATAGTGTATAAGTCCATAGTGTGTCGGTATTCTAACTTTTATAATAACAATATTATGTTTGTGTTTCATCACTATACACACACACACACATATATATTATATATAGGTCTTGCAGTACACATATTATTATATAAATATTGTTATTTGAAATATGTTACCTATATTATATAATATTAACGTTTGTCGTTTGCGTTATTTGTGTTTCAGACTATAAATTTTGYTCGTACAAGCCAAGTGTGATCGCGGGGGCCAGCATCGCGGCTGCTCTCAATGGACTGGAATACGCGGCCATTTACAAGTACGACTTGTTCAATAAGCTGCACGCCATCACTGGCTCTAAAAAGGTAAGCGTTCTCTTTACAGTAGTGTTAAGCATATATACAAYTAATGTAGGTRAAATACATTTAAGAAACATGTTTCATAAAACATGTGACTGTGTAACTTAATATGGGTGGTAGGAAATAAATTATATATTTTTCTACCTATATTGTCTTTAAAATTATAGTGGGAGAAAAAATGTGACGCCCTTCTATAAGTCCCGAAAATAAATCTGTCCATAATACTCGTGTCCTTGAAGTTTTGAAGGATCTTAAGATYGGTGAAAATAATATAATATCAAGTTTGTTATAACTATCAATATTTTAACGTGTAGAAATAATTAAAATTTACACAGAAAAATTAATATTCAATCTCAAGTTTTAAAAAAAATATAAGTTTTGTAATATTCGTTAAATAAGACTAATAAGATATTAAACAGGGTCGGGAGACAAAACAATATTTTCCTCTCACTATAAAATGTATGTTTTCTACTGACCTCCCATATTAAAAAAAATTATAATWATCAATTATGCCTTGTCTCTTTAAGAAAGAAAAAAATAAATCTAATAGTTCGTGGATTAAGTACACAACTTTTGTACTACCTATTGAAATCGTAATGCTTTATATTAACCAATAACGTCGCTTTAATTCTTATAGATACCGCCTCTTAATCAGCCTAGTGACACGAATATGGTTTGCTGCACAATTGCACAAGTTTGGTGCATACTGTAGTGCTCCAAAATTCATCTCTTCCTCTGTATTTAACAGTTCATTTAAATTTTCCTCTTGTATCTGTTGACATTATGAGAGATTTCTATCCATCTCTCCTCACCATGATGTTTTATAAAAAATAATGATAATTGCGTGCGCGTGCGTATAGTAGGTAGGTATTATATTATTAAATGTCGGTTGGTCGTTTGACGCGTTCTAAAAATTCGTTTTGCGCACACAAACAGAAATAATATTGTAATATCATACTCACTGTCTCAGTTATGCATATTATAATTCACGACACGACTGCGATATGATTATAATAATAATAATTATTATTATTACCATAATTACCTATCRCCGTCCCGAGTGTGATGTTTTCATTCGACTTCAATCGGATGTTAATTAACAGCACAATCCTGCTTTTGCCCCGTCGCCGTCGCAATTCGTCGTCATCACACGTATTTAAATTTCGAGCTCTCCCCTCCCACCAATCGTCGACCCACACTCTCGTTTATGATAGAGGTAGGTTTACGGACATATACAATGATATGTAATTAATATTATGTATAGGTACACTGAATAATAATAACTCCTCGTTTCTTCCTGCTCCGACCCCGTAGACCTCGTGTTTCTCGCTAATGGTGTTCACTGTTAAGTCCGTGCCGCCGACGATTTTATAAATTTAYTACGTGTTCTCATCATACGGCTCCAAGCCGTCGAAATATTTTATTTCAGCACGGCAGTGCGATATTGGTCGATCCATCCGTTTCATTCGCCCCTACCCACCCCCGTCACCACTTCGTCTGGAATGCGTTTGGAGAGCTTTTCATTAATCGCGCCATGGTCGTTTTTTTTTTCCCCAGGAGGTCCTGAAAGCGTGCCAAGAGCAAATCGAAGCAATGGTCGAGGGCCACAAGAGACAGCGCAAGGAAATGGATTACCAAAATATGTACGAAAAGCCGTACGACAAGACTGCCGAGTCGGACGATAATACAAATTGTTGGATTTGAGATCGTCGTCAGACTTACAAAAAAATATAAATGTACGAGGAAAAAAACTACACCGAAAGAAAAAAAAAACAAAACAATTTTTATTCCGATTTTATTTTACTATTATTATTATCATTAYATACTCCACTGCAGTAAAGTTCACTTGTTAGGTACAAACAAACCAATCGGTGATAATAATATATCATCGGTCCACATATTTGATTACACATTTTGCACAACAASAACAATTATTAAATTCTATATCATACCTATATACCTACTGTTTAAGGTACTCGCATTTGGTAAGATTTTTGACTTTCAGAAGCACTGTATAATAAGATCATTAGTTTAGCCTTAGGATTAGGTTTTATGATTATTTTGACTTAATATTATTATTTTTTAATGGGGAAGGCAATAAAATACGCTTCATGTTTCCGTACATATTATGTTATTATAATAAGTTTATTATTAATATTATTATATTATTATTCACAGCAGCTCTGATTTATCAAACAGTSTAATGGTGATTGTTTATATACCATATAATATTATAAAACCAATGTTCATTAATAAGCTCAACGTAATCCGATAACGAAAAATTCAATTTTCATAGAAACACGTCCTAAATATATTCTGTGAACAACCACCAATCCCGGCATGCATAATGTACGCGATACTTTTAATGTATATCGTGTACAACATGGTATTTTATATTTTATTCGTTTTCGCATATGTCACCAAGATTCGATTTAAATGTACAGTTATAAAGTGCCAGTACGGCTACCTAAAAAACCAACAGATTCCTAAAATTTTATTAAAGTTTAAGTTATATCAAAATAGATAGATATTTTATTACATATTATTATATTACAACATATTATATTATTTAATTACAATTTTTTTTTTTTGTAGCGTTTAAGGTAGACTCGTCGACCCAGAGTTTAGCACATGGTTGGTGCGACATTTTTTTTAAAGATCTCTTGTGTCGGCGGTCTTTTTTTTATACATTTATTTAAATAAAAAAGCTCAAGTTTCCATTGCTAAATAACATATCACTCACGATTGTTGCTTTCTTTGATTTCCGAACGTTTATTACACTTTTACATACGATTTGTTTACAATAATATTAAAATTAGTTTTAAATGACCATCACATATCTTATACTTAAATTGATTCCGATCCCAACACGAAGAACGTATTATTAGGTTTTCAAGCTTCTTCGTACATTTTAATTTTATTCTTATATTYACTGTTTTTCAAATTAAAAAGTACAAAAGATAATACTAAAAAAATATGGTCAAAAAGAAAAATTTACGTAGTTTAAGATTTATTTGCTCCATTGGGAATACCGATGTAATTTGATTAATTTATTATTTTTATTGATATTTAAATATATATATATATATTTTTTTTGTTAACGGTAATAGTTTTATGACAAGTATTTTTAAGTATGTAGCATACACCGTTGTTCTATTATTTGCATTGCCCCTCTCCATTGTTTAAAAATTCGGAGAGAAATCTACGAAGAAAAACGATAGAAATCACGTCTTCCACAGGCCTCAAATCCGCGCGAAGCCATTGGCTACCCGAGATTTGTCTCTCCCCCAGTCCCCCCCTCAAATTTAGCTTGATTTTGTGGATTATAATATTTGTATATATGTACCGACGGGACGTGGGTTAACGGCTCGGACAAGGAGGGACGAAATAAAAAGAAAACACGAAAAAAATATTTTAAAAAACATGTTTTTTTATACACGCACACCATATACATACCTCAGTTCCAAGTTGATTTATTTACTATTATTTTTTTTTTCCATAGTAATAGTAGTTGTAGTAGTAGTCTTATGATATTTAATAAATAGTTATAGTAGCGTATATTGTAATAATATGTAAGTCCTGGATGTGTCCCGAACCGTGTGTAAAAATATATAATATAACTTCGTCCTGACGGCTAAAATCCGATAAAGTGAAACGGGGAAAAGGGGGAGGAACGTAACGTTTGGCCTCGTTATAATTATTTTAGAATGTAAGTCGCACCACAAACACCACATACACACGTTTTTATATAATATTATGATGCTGTTATATGTATAATAATACGTATAATAAAATTTATACCATTTGGTGTATTTTAGTTGTTTAAAGAAAAATTTATATAATATTATTTAATAGATTACATATTTATATATAAATATATACAAATATAACTACAAGTTGAATTCTATATAAATATAAATAATATAACATAAAAAAAAGATTCTACTAATCTCTATAGTTTTGCACTGTTATCAACGCAGTTGTTTTTTTTATTATTATTATTAAATTTATATATATATATTAAAATATTTTTTTTCCACTCCGGCTATTTCAACTTTTATTTTCTCCCAATTTATTTCTACAGCCTCTATGACTGTTGAGTGTCTGCAAGGAAGTGGAAATACATTTTAGAATTGTTACCAACCGAAATAGTCAAATAAATATTTGGAATATAATATAGATTATAATACCATGTTTTCATTTTATTCATTTATTATATATTTATATATTTTTTTTTTTTTCAAGTATATTGTAATCGTAAATATTAATATTTTTGGTCTTGTAACTTGTAGAGAACATATTACAACATCTGTTTCTGTATTAGGTTTATGTCCACAAATATATATTGTACGCATACTTACATATACATATATATATATATATATGATATAGTTGATAAGCATATTATATTAAAGAAAATGTAAAATGAAGATTTAAGACACTGTTTTTTTTTCCAATGTTATATTACAGTTTTTATGTATATGTATATGATATATCATTATTATTATATTATTATTATTATTATATTCACTATGTTGTCATGTGCTTCTTTAATACAAGCCGTAAAAATCGAGCTATGATTATTTAACTTTTTAACTTTTTTTTTTTTAATGGTAATAATTAGTACAAATATTTATAGACTAACGAATTCGTACATCGAATGCCAAGTTTTATGTGTTCCCGTAAAGAAAACAATAGGACTTAGATAAGACTCAAACGCTTAAAATTTCGTTTGAAAATACGCTTACGTTTTTCTTTTCTTTTAAATCTATGTCGGTCATATTATTTACAATAAACGCATATAGACTTTCCATATTAGATGTATAAGTTGAGTCAATCTGGTCATGTTTGCTATGTTTTTCTTTTTTTTTTACTGTGCCATAATATAATAGTACCTAAACAAAATTCACATTAATATGGTTTAATATTGCCATCATTAATACACAATTTTTATTTTATACACATATATTATATAAAAGTAAATTATACATTTTTTTTTTTCGTTTTTCAATGTTGTTAATCGTATTTTGCGAGTCTTTGGCAACGCAAAAAGTATTTGCACAGCATTTTATTATATATACATAAAGAAAAAAAATATACTTATCTGACCATATTATATAATAACATAAATAAAATTGTAAGTAGATAACCACCGCATCATGTTGTTAGGCAGTGGTTATGCATTTACGAACTTATAACATGTAACAATATATATTATTATTTACACATTATATTGATATTTTTGTACTTATTCGTTTTATTATAAGGTCAATATTATACTATAATATCAATAAAGAAAAAAAGATTTACTGAAATAAAAATGTGTTCTATTTTTTGTTTAAGGAGTAAATGTCCTAAATGAATCATAACGACCGATCAATTGAGCGTGAGACATACAGTCGAGTTTCGATAAACAAAATAGTGATAGGATTAAAAGAAAATAATTTGACTAACGTATTTTTCGAGTTGTTTACCTCGAACAAAAGTTATAAACACTTCAGTGGACAAAAAAAAAAAGAGCTACTGGCGAGCTATCAAGACATTTCTGTATTATTAGAAAGCCATTTTCAATGCCGATGAAGATAAACTATTATCTCGAGTTTTCCAAAATACGTAGAAAGTTTTCAATATTATGTGTTTTATACCACGTGGGTATTATCACATATTGCGAAACTGTGCGTTAACTGAGAAACTATAGTTGTCGTGTGTACTCACGTGTTCATATGAGTTAAGTTCTACGGATGTGTTCGGTTTGAATTCAAACGGTTCCATTGGTTCCAATGAGATTCAACTGCAGTACCTATACGGAAAACTGTTCCGATCGTAGATGGCGCATGTCAGCGGTTGTACAATGTACATTATGAATTATTATGATATAAACGCCAACGACTTGAAAAATAAATATGAACTGCACCGATATTCATTTTTTAAATATTTGAAATCAGTWATAATTTATAKGTAGGTTCCAAATAATATATACTTATTCGAAAAACAAAAAAGTATTTTTGTAATTTTGTACGGTAAAAAAAAATGAGTAAAACGCCTATTTGTTCATAACCGTTATGTAGGTAACATTAATTTTCAGCATCATATAGATAACGTGAATACTTAAATTACCTTATGCTGGTACTTTTTGTTCCTGTTTAATTGACTACTGCAGATGAGGCTCTGCGTGAACAAAACTACTCCTCTGATGCCATCTTTTATTGATGTATACACATTGTGCAAAGATTAAGTAAAAGRTACTATATAATAACACATCATACATCGGACGATTGCAGGCATGCAGCACAGCACCTCAAAAAATAAAGAGTAATATTCAAAAAAATGGTTAAACCATCTATTCGCACCCGCCAACTTGTGTTCTTGTTCTACTGGATTTCGTTTGTCCGGGGAGGGTTCAGTCGGTTGGGGCAGATATCCGTAGATTTGATCTTAATTCAGACTCGTATATCATATAATATGGTCTTGTTCTTTGCAGCTTAGTACGTCCTCAACCATTTAGAAGTACTTATGAGTGGCACATTAGAAAGCAGTCTGTATTCGGTGATTTGGTGATTCTCATGAGACGAGACAGCGACRGGTGGTGTACAGCAAATCCTGAACGTTGAAGTTTTCAATTTCATTGAAATGATTGAAATTTAATAAGGTTTGAATTTTTGGGGTTCCCTAGAGTTGAATGCTATATTATGTCATTGCAGAGAGTAGTATTTGTTTGTAAATCGATGTTTTTTGTTATTTAGTGAGATTTTTAATCGAAGAAGTAGTCTTGAWATCTATAAGGTTAAGCGATGTTTTTTTCGCTTTAATCTGCAGGTTAGCCCAGGTTATTAGTCTTGTATCGAAGAGGAGTACTAAGTATTTAACAGAAATATCCACGGGGATTAATTGGTTGTTTAGACGAACAGAAT